CTGCAAGCGTATCATTAAATAAATACACATTTCAATTCCTTATAGGGAGAATCAAACACTAATTAACTGATTACTGACGTAGCGTATCATTACAGCAACACACATTGCAACCGGTTACTCATCTCCAACTCACATCGTAACAATTGCCTGCTTACTAATCTATTATATAATTACAATAACTACCCCCCTCCAATTCAAATCGTTTCACCTGATGAGTTGATGAGTTGATGAGTTGATGAAGACGTCACCCCGCTGCTGCTGCTGCTCTATATAAGAACGGGAGCAAGGGAAGTCGTCACCATTCTGGCGAATTGCCCGATGATGGTGGATGTAATCACCAGCGAAACGTCGTACTACTCAAACGTTGTAAATATCGTGGATTCACGCTTCAACACACAGGTGGGCTAAAGCAATGAACTATTTTGTCTTTTGTCAACGTGACTCTTTGTTTTGCTGATTGGTCGTGTCGGGTGGTGGAGGGTTACGACACATTTATAAATAACGCGATCTGAACCCAAAAACGTTCATTATGAACTTTACCAATTACCCGGCCCATTGATTAACATGGGACTGGGGGTCTACTTCTCTCACACCCCCTACCACTTTCCCGCTCCCCCCCCCCCCCCCCATTGATTAACATGGGACTGGGGGTCTACTTCTCTCACACCCCCTACCACTTTCCCGCTCCACCCCCCCCCCCCCCATTGATTAACATGGGACTGGGGGTCTACTTCTCTCACACCCCCTACCACTTTCCCGCTCCACCCCCCCCCCCCCCCATTGATTAACATGGGACTGGGGGTCTACTTCTCTCACACCCCCTACCACTTTCCCGCTCCACCCCCCCCCCCCCCATTGATTAACATGGGACTGGGGGTCTACTTCTCTCACACCCCCTACCACTTTCCCGCTCCACCCCCCCCCCCCCCCCCCATTGATTAACATGGGACTGGGGGTCTACTTCTCTCACACCCCCTACCACTTTCCCGCTCCACCCCCCCCCCCCCCCCCCCCATTGATTAACATGGGACTGGTGGTCTACTTCTCTCACACCCCCTACCACTTTCCCGCTCCACCCCCCCCCCCCCCCATTGATTAACATGGGACTGGGGGTCTACTTCTCTCACACCCCCTACCACTTTCCCGCTCCACCCCCCCCCCCCCCCCCATTGGATTAACATGGGACTGGGGTCTACTTCTCTCACACCCCCTACCACTTTCCCGCTCCACCCCCCCCCCCCCCCCCCCCCCCATTGATTAACATGGGACTGGTGGTCTACTTCTCTTACACCCCCTACCACTTTCCCGCTCCACCCCCCCCCCCCCCCCCCATTGATTAACATGGGACTGGGGGTCTACTTCTCTCACACCCCCCTACCACTTTCCCGCTCCAACCTCCCCATTGATTAACATGGGACTGGTAGTCTACTTCCCTGACACACCTGCACCCTACCACTTTCCCGCTCCACCCCCCCCCCCATTGATTAACATGGGACTGGTGGTCTACTTCTCTCTCACCCCCCTACCACTTTCCCGCTCCACCCCCCCCCCCCCCCCCCCCCATTGATTAACATGGGACTGGTGGTCTACTTCTCTCACACCCCCCTACCACTTTCCCGCTCCAACCTCCCCATTGATTAACATGGGACTGGGGGTCTACTTCTCTCACACCCCCCTACCACTTTCCCGCTCCAACCTCCCCATTGATTAACATGGGACTGGTAGTCTACTTCCCTGACACACCTGCACCCTACCACTTTCCCGCTCCACCCCCACCCCCATTGATTAACATGGGACTGGTGGTCTACTTCTCTTACACCCCCCTACCACTTTCCCGCTCCACCCCCACCCCCATTGATTAACATGGGACTGGTGGTCTACTTCTCTCTCACCCCCCTACCACTTTCCCGCTCCACCCCCCCCCCCCCCCCATTGATTAACATGGGACTGGTGGTCTACTTCTCTCTCACCCCCCTACCACTTTCCCGCTCCACCCCCCCCCCCCCCCATTGATTAACATGGGACTGGTGGTCTACTTCTCTCTCACCCCCCTACCACTTTCCCGCTCCACCCCCCCCCCCCCATTGATTAACATGGGACTGGTGGTCTACTTCTCTCTCACCCCCCTACCACTTTCCCGCTCCACCCCCCCCACCCCATTGATTAACATGGACTGGTGGTCTACTTCTCTCTCACCCCCCTACCACTTTCCCGCTCCAACCTCCCCATTGATTAACATGGGACTGGTAGTCTACTTCCCTGACACACCTGCACCCTACCACTTTCCCGCTCCACCCCCACCCCCATTGATTAACATGGGACTGGTGGTCTACTTCTCTCTCACCCCCCTACCACTTTCCCGCTCCACCCCCCCCCCCCCCCCCCCCATTGATTAACATGGGACTGGTGGTCTACTTCTCTGACACCCCCCTACCACTTTCCCGCTCCAACCTCCCCATTGATTAACATGGGACTGGTGGTCTACTTCTCTCACACCCCCCTACCACTTTCCCGCTCCACCCCCACCCCCATTGATTAACATGGGACTGGTGGTCTACTTCTCTGACACCCCCCTACCACTTTCCCGCTCCAACCTCCCCATTGATTAACATGGGACTGGTGGTCTACTTCTCTGACACCCCCCTACCACTTTCCCGCTCCAACCTCCCCATTGATTAACATGGGACTGGTGGTCTACTTCTCTCACACCCCCCTACCACTTTCCCGCTCCAAATCTTGGACAACCTCCCCATTGATTAACATGGGACTGGTGGTCTACTTCCTTTGCACTCCTGCACCCTACCACTTTCCCGCTTCGTCTTCCTCACCCCCCCTCCCCCATTGATCTTCTCTCCCGCGGTAACAATGGCGCTGTTTCGTAGCTTCGCCTCAGCTCAGCTTAGACAGCGAAAAAAACAACAACAGCAACAAGAAGATGATCATGATGATGATGATCAGGAGATTGTCGACGCATTAACCTGCCCCATCTGTCTGGAAGTTTACACGAAGCCAGTGACTATTGGATGTGGACACACGTAAGTCACCTATTGTTTTTAATTTATCGTCATTATAACCTTAATGTAAATATACAAATGGATTTAATTGTTTTACAGAATGCTGTGGCGCGAATTGTAAACGTTACGATTCTGTTCGCGGTGGGCGATTTTGTGCAAATTATCGTGAGGTGAATTATCGTAATAATATAATTATTATAATAATAACAATATTTTTAAAATACAAAATCTTAGCATTGTTAATTCATCTTTGCATCGTGCTTTTCCTCAATTGTAAAATTTAAAATGTGAATAATTATTGTTAACAACGCATCTTTAATTATTATATTAATAATCAATACTAAATTATTGATTATTAATTTTGCCATCGGTCGGTGTTTGAGGCGTCAATGCAAATCGATTCGAGCGATTTCGCCTCCTGGGCTTGGGAATGTCCTCATCCAGCAGTGGATTAGCTGCTGCTGCTGACGGGTCTCTATTGTGTGAGTCTGTGGGTCTCTGTGAGAGTCTGTGGGTCTCTGCTGTGTGAGTCTGTGGGTCTCTGCTGTGTGAGTCTGTGGGTCTCTGCTGTGCGAGTCTGTGGGTCTCTGCTGTGTGAGTCTGTGGGTCTCTGCTGTGTGAGTCTGTGGGTCTCTGCTGTGTGAGTCTGTGGGTCTCTGCTGTGTGAGTCTGTGGGTCTCTGCTGTGTGAGTCTGTGGGTCTCTGCTCTGTGATGAGTCTGTGGGTCTCTGCTCTGTGATGAGTCTGTGGGTCTCTGCTCTGTGATGAGTCTGTGGGTCTCTGCTCTGTGATGAGTCTGTGGGTCTCTGCTCTGTGATGAGTCTGTGGGTCTCTGCTCTGTGATGAGTCTGTGGGTCTCTGCTCTGTGATGAGTCTGTGGGTCTCTGCTCTGTGATGAGTCTGTGGGTCTCTGCTGTGTGATGAGTCTGTGGGTCTCTGCTGTGTGATGAGTCTGTGGGTCTCTGCTGTGTGATGAGTCTGTGGGTCTCTGCTGTGTGATGAGTCTGTGGGTCTCTGCTGTGATGAGTCTGTGGGTCTCTGCTCTGTGATGAGTCTGTGGGTCTCTGCTCTGTGATGAGTCTGTGGGTCTCTGCTCTGTGATGAGTCTGTGGGTCTCTGCTCTGTGATGAGTCTGTGGGTCTCTGCTGTGTGATGAGTCTGTGGGTCTCTGCTGTGTGATGAGTCTGTGGGTCTCTGCTGTGTGATGAGTCTGTGGGTCTCTGCTCTGTGATGAGTCTGTGGGTCTCTGCTCTGTGATGAGTCTGTGGGTCTCTGCTCTGTGATGAGTCTGTGGGTCTCTGCTCTGTGATGAGTCTGTGGGTCTCTGCTCTGTGATGAGTCTGTGGGTCTCTGCTGTGTGATGAGTCTGTGGGTCTCTGCTGTGTGATGAGTCTGTGGGTCTCTGCTGTGTGATGAGTCTATGGGTCTCTGCTGTGTGATGAGTCTGTGGGTCTCTGCTGTGTGATGAGTCTGTGGGTCTCTGCTGTGTGATGAGTCTGTGGGTCTCTGCTGTGTGATGAGTCTGTGGGTCTCTGCTGTGTGATGAGTCTGTGGGTCTCTGCTGTGTGGTGAGTCTATGGCTCTCTGCTGTGTGGTGAGTCTGTGGGTCTCTTATGAGTCTATCCACCCCCCCCCCCTCTCGACCCCCCACCCCTCCAGCTTCTGCGGCGAGTGTCTGTGGCCGTGTGTGCAGCTCCGCTCTCCGCACTGCGCCCTCTGCCGATCGCCCTTCGACCCCCGCGGCGCCCGCAGAGCGAGCGACACGGAGCGGCAGCTGGCGGCCCGTGAGGTGCCCTGCAGGGGCTGCTCAAAAAAGGTGAAGTATGGCCCCTGAGACTCGGCCCGGCCCCCCCTTTCCCTGGCCCCCCCCCCCGCTCCGCTCCGCTACGAACTCGTCCATGAGCCCACGGCCACCGCCGTCAAAGAAACGATGAAGGCAAAGGTCCCCCGTGTAGGCTGTAGGGGCAAGTGCTGTTAGCGAGCGGCTGTGAAGGCCGGCACGGTGGCACACGAGGGGTGGGTGGCCAGCACCGCCACCACCGCCACCACCACCACCACCACAACCTCCACCAACACTGCCACTGCCACCACCACCTTCACCATCGCCGCCGCCACCAACAACAGCGGTGGTGGTGACGCCGATTGTCTGAACGTGGTCCTGGGCCTCCCCTAGGTCGGCTCGGCCTCAAATGAGTGACCTGGTGCGGCGACGGTGGTGGTGGTGGCGGTGGTGGTGAACATTGCAACTGGGGAGACAAAGGCGGCCGGGCGTGGTGCTGGCCACCCACCCCCTCTGTGCTACAGCGCCCGTAGCCTTCACAGGTGCTGCTACTAACAGCACTTGCCCCTACTGCCTTGTTAGAGGCTACACGGGGGACCTTTGTCTGTGTCTATAAACACTGTTGCTGCTAACAGCACTTGCCCCTACAGCCCCGCTAGAGGCTACACGGGGACCTTTGTCTGTATCTTTGCAGGTGAGCCTGGCGAAGATGCGAACCCACACGGCGTCGTGTCCCAAGGTGGTGGAGCAGAGCTCCACCTTCCCCAAGTTCACCCCCATCAGCTCCACCACACAGCCCCTACCTTGGTGAGTAACTCACCCGCTCACCCGCTCACTCGCTCACCCGCTCACTCACTCACCCGCTCACTCACCCGCTCACTCACTCGCCCGCTCACTCACTCGCCCGCTCACTCACCCGCCCACTCACTCACCCGCTCACTCACTCACCCGCTCACTCGCTCACCCGCTCACTCGCTCACCCGCTCACTCGCTCACCCGCTCACTCGCTCACTCACTCACCCGCTCACTCACTCACCCGCTCACTCACTCACCCGCTCACTCACTCACCCGCTCACTCACTCACCCGCTCACTCACCCACCCGCTCACTCATCCACTCGCTCATTAACTCATCCACTCGCTCATTAACTCATCCACTCATCCACTCATTAACTCGCCACACAGCACATACCTTGGTGAGTCACTCACTCACCTACCCACTCACCACACACACGCAGTGTGTGTTCATGATGGCAGTGATGGTGATAATGGTGATGTTGGTGTGATATTGGTGGTGGTGGTGGTGATGAGGGTGATGATGATTATGGTGATAACGTTGATTATGGTGATAACGTTCATAATGGTGGTGATGATTGGGGTGATGATGGTGATGTTTGATGTGCAGCGATGTCCCGAACCGCTGCACGTTCACGTGTCCGTACTGCGGCGCACGGAACCTCGACCAGCCCGGCGTGGTGCGGCACTGCACGGCAGAGCACCGGGAAGACGGCAACCGCGTGGTACCACCATCATCACCACCACCACTACCACCACTACCACCACTACCACCACCACCACTACTACCACTACTACCACCAGAACCACAATCACCACCACCGCTATCACCACTACTACTACCACCAGAACCACAATCACCACCACCGCTACCACAACCACCACCACCACCACAACGCAATGCCGAAGCATTCACCTTGATTTCGATTAATTTGTGTTTTTTTATTGTGTAACGCCATCCCCGTCACCTGCATCTCGCTCCTACTGCTGCTATTGTTACTACTAATACTGCTGTTACTATTGTCACTGCTGCTATTGTCACTGCTGCTGCTATTGTTACTACTAATACTGCTGCTGCTGCTATTGTTGCTGCTGCTACTGCTGCTGCTATTGTTACTACTCCTACTATTGTCACTGCTGCTGCTATTGTTGCTGCTGCTATTATTGCTGCTGCTGCTATTGTTGCTGCTGCTACTGCTGCTGCTATTGTTACTACTCCTGCTATTGTTGCTGCTATTGTTGCTGCTGCTGCTGCTGCTATTGTTGCTGCTGCTGCTGCTGCTATTGTTGCTGCTGTTGCTGCTGCTGCTGCTACTGTTGCTGCTGCTTCTGCAGGTGTGTCCCATCTGCGTGTCGATGCCGTGGGGAGACCCCAACTACCGCAGCTCCAACTTCATCCAGCACCTGGTCCACAGACACAAATTCTGCTACGACACCTTTGTGGTAAGCGAAGACAAAGCTCCCCCGTGTAGCCTCTAACACACTGTAGGGGCAAGTGCTGTTAGCGAGTAGCAGCGTCTATGAAGGCCGGCACGGCACACGAGGGGGGTGGGTGGCCAACACCACGCCCGGCCGCCTTTGTCTCCCCAGTGCCGATGTTTACTAGACTACAGCGCACCAGGTACTCGTTTTGAGGCTGAGTCGACCTAGGGGAGGCCCAGGACCGGTTCAGGAATTCGTCACTGGTGGTGTTTGCCGTGAGCGGGAATCGAACTCGGGTGGCCGGGTTTGTAGTGCAGTGTAGCGTTAACCACTGCACCACCGCTCCACACCTACACACACGCCTACACCCGCACACGCCTACACACACCTCCACCTACAGTCGTGTGTAGTGTATAGTGTATACGTGACTTTACCGAAAGAACCAAGAAGATGAATCCCTGCAGTCACGAAAGCTTTAAATCGAAATGTAG